TTAGCTGATGGCAGTCGTCGGTTTTGTGCCCGTGGTGGCGGTGAAAGCGGCAATATGGCTCATCAGGACCGATGGCATAAATCTCGAGGGGTGTACGGGAGTCTCGCTCCACCAGCCCTCGCTCTTCTGCGTGGTCCAAGATGACGCTGACGGGGTGCGTCAGGGGAGTGCGTGGGTGCTCCAGGAGGACGGGTTGCGCACATGCCTTCGGATTGTTCTTGTAACCGCCCCCGGGTCTGGCTTGGCCACCTCGGGAGTGATCGGTGTACTGTGCCTCTCGGTTGGCCGGAGGGGGAGGCCCTCCGGGCCGATTCCTGCCTTCACTCTTCTGAGAAGGATCCGTGTTGCGACGGTCCTTCTCGATTTCCTCCGCTTCAGCATATCGGTCCCCCCGCTGAAGGGCCTTGGTATAATCGCGGGGGGGATCAGTGATGAGGCTCCTGGAGAAGTTACCGTTGCGGAGGACGGTGTGGAAGAGGGCCATCAGGGTTCTGTCGTCGGCGCCTTCGACCTCGAGGGAGGCCTGCCTCCAGCGTTCTAGGAAACTCCGAAGGGTTTCCTCCTTCTGTTGTCTCACGTTTAGAAGGTGGGAGAAGTGTTTCTTTGAGCGGTGCCTCCCGGCAAATTGTGTAAGGAAGCGGTGGGCAAGTTCTTGCCAAGAATCAATGCTGCCTTCGGGCAACCGGTTGAACCACTCATACGCTGGCCCCTCCAAGGTGGAAAGGAACCAACGGCATAAGTATTCATCCGAGGCCCCCATCATCATCATGCTATTTTGATAGCGGCTATAGTGTTCTTGGGGATCTGTCTTCCCCTCATACGGCTTGATAGGTTGCCCCCGGTACTTTTGGGGAATCTTGGCCGCTAACACCCTTGGGGTGAAGGGTGTTCTAGTGCGGAGTTGAATGAGGGGCTCGCCGGAGCCCTCGGCGAGCTTACGTTTCATTTCCTCCACCTGTGCCCGGAGGTCAGCGTACTCCGGATCTGGCCTTGCTGTGGAAGCCGTCGGGGGTGCCTGACGATTCTCCTCAAGTTGACGGAGGAGGGCCTCGATGATTTCGTCCTTGGGGTCCTTCGGGGCAACCCCTTGGGAATTGGCCCGGAAGGATTGCGCCTGATTGATTTGGTGTCTGGCATCATCGGCGTGGAGGAGGGCTTTGACTTTGCTTCGGGGTGGAGGCATGCCCTCGGCCCCCGAAGCGGAGGCTCCACTCTCCTGGGGCCTGCTGATTTCCTGTTTGCCAAGGCGGTCTTGGACCCCTCGGCGTCCGGGAACTCCCCCCAACCTCTCAAGTGCAGAGGTTCGGGGCTTTTCCTTCATCATAGGGCGCTTATCCCTGGATTGGGCCTCCTGGGAGGCGGTATCCTGCGCTATGACCCCCTCGGCGTTGCCAATCCCCGTTGGAGGATTGTTGAACAAAGGAGGGAGTGGCGGCAGTTGGATAGCATTTCCCCCAGCATAGGGCTGAAGGGGTGTTTGAGAAACGAGGGCTCCGGAATTGAGAGCCATGTTTTGAACAAAGGCCGCAAAGGCAGCCTGAAGATCGATGGCCGAGGCCGGAGCGGGAACTTGGTTCTCACTCCGATCCCTCCTTCGATTATCAAGGCCAATGCTGGCATCAGGGGCATTCTTCTGTAGCTGCTGACGGAGGTCAGCAGTAGCATGCTCCAACTCGAGGATGATTCCACCCTCGGGTACCAAGAGCCTGTTGGAGGCCTCAGCCCCGTTGGTTTCGCCGGGGGCTACGTGGTTCTCCTCGAGGGTCTTGGATTGGGCACGAGTTGTTCTTCCCATTTTTGGTAGGTGTTTTGAGTTTGGTAGAGGGGGAGGATTTCTTACTTGATTGTTCTGACCTCTCAACGAGAGCACCAAATGATGGATAGTCTACCCGGGGGGTATCTTATCCGAGGGGTTATTGCGAGAATAACTTAGAGAGAAGTCAGAGCAAATAGGAGGAGAGAGAGTCGATTTATTAAATGAACTCGAGATGTGTAGATGGGATGTGGATCGTTTACAAGGAGAAATGGGCTGCTATTTATAGCAGCAATAAATGCGATGAGAGTAAACGTGTCAGCAATCCAACGGCCGAAGGGTCACATCAGCCGGTTGGCACCGGCAGTGGTACGTCCACCGCATTGAATGCGGTTGGTGGATGTGACGTGGCATTAAATGCGGTGGTTGGCTGTCTCTAAAAGGAATCTTCGATGATTGAGCGTGTTTGGCCGAAGGCTCCTTGTGTAGCCGAGGGCTCCATGTAACCAAGGACCCCTGTGTAGCCGAAGGCCTTGTGTGACCGAGGGCTTGGTTCAGCCGAAGGCCTCTCCGATGCCGAGGGCTTGATAGTGCCGAAGGCTCATGTTTTTCGCCGTTTTCTCCCAGTAGCTTCTTATGCCAGAGAAGGCTATCCTGCGAGTTTTGGAGCCTTCGGCCTAGGAGGCCGAAGGCACCCTAGTGTGTGTCCTGGGCTATTTTGAGGCTTGGGCCGCCGCATTTGGGCCTGAGTTGTTCTCTGGGTCCAATGGACTTGTGTAGGAGAAGTAGGAGTCTATGGGCCGGGGGTTCCTGGGCCATATACTCCATCAATAAATAAAACTGAACTGAACTAAAGAAATTCAATAAAACTCTCATACTCTGTATTTTATTTCAAATAACAAATGCAAACTGATCCAAATCAAACTAAACCAAACCAAAAAATAGTACGTAGTATGTTTTTTGTTTGGTAATAATTTTTCCAAACCGTATCAAACTGAAAGTGATAAAAACCAATTCATAAGGTACAGAACCTGAAAGCTATAAACATTTCACTCTGAACTCGTGTAAAATTTGATCTGATCATATATTGCTATATTTTGTTCCGTTTCAAGTGTTTCATATCTGGTTGGCTTTAGGATTTAGAGTTTATGGTGGATTCAGAGTTCAGGGGTTATGATTTATTCAATACGGATGAAATATTACTAATAATGATTTTTTAAAAAAATACGGAGTACTACATTGTAAATGTAGTGATCTATGGTGATAACTTTCAAACTTTGATTGTAATAACCTATGTTCAATTTAATCAAAAGTGGTTAATAATTTTAATACCCCAAATTTTAGTGGGGTGTGAAATAAGTACCTCAAATTTGCATGTATAATATATACCCGAAATTTATTTTAAAAAAATATTTTAAATGATTGCATATTCATTTACAAATACAAATTTATCAATTTAAAATAGTCTAAACTTTGTTGGAATGCAATTAATATTCTAAACATTCATTTGTGAAATAAATAATATTGCATCCAATTTTTAATTGCATCCTCATAAATGTTTTGTATATTTTAAATTATAAACTTAACACTATCGAATTACATTTGCGAAAAAAATTTATGATCATGGTGTTAACATAACTTTTTATGTAAAGTTTAAAGTATATATATTACATGTGCAAATTTGGAGTACTTATCTTACACCTTGTCTTGGACTCGGTTCGGGTCACCCGGCCCGCTACTCTGCGAGCCCGGAACCAACCCGGTTCTTGGGTCCGGTTCGGGAACCGGACTGGTGGGGGGGGGTCCGGGCTCGGGGCTAGTTTTTGGCGGCCCGGCCGGGTCGGGCCCGGGTCCGAGCCGAATTATTTTTTTTTTTTTTCATTTTTTTTTCATTTTTGGGGTTCCACCCAAGTTGGGCTTGATGATTAGGAGGGGTGAGGGGGATTTTTTTTGGGGGGGGGGGGGTGAGGGGGGTAGGAAAGCAAAAAAAATATATATACATATAACCAAACCAGAGGCCCGGCCCGGCCCGGACCCGGTGGCTACCCGGGCCAATCCTGGGCCTTCCTTCCCATAAAAAAGCCCGGCCAGGCCCGGCCCGGGTCAATGACTGCTTACACAGTTACACCCCTTCAAAGTTTGTAATATTTACGTTATTTTCCCCTTACCAAAACACTATACATAATACATATAGTAACTTTTAATAATAGTTTTATAAAAAAAATTATTTTAGTAACATTTTTGAACAAATGTTCTTAAGTAAACATTCTTGACTATGTTTTAACATAACAAAAATATTTTCCTCTGCTCAAATGATTTGCTTCAAATTTTTCATATTTTCTCCTTAGGATGGGTGTTTGACTGTTTGATTGTTAATATATTTTTTTATTTATACGGGAAAATAAAACTAGAGAAATTGACTTCCTTTTCAGTTCTCTCCAACGAGCATGATTTTACTTGAAAGTAGGGCTAGACTCGGTTCGGGCCGGGCCCGGTTCGGGCCGGGCCCGGTTCGGGCCGGGAACCGACCGGGCCTCGGTTCACCAAAAGGAGGGCCCGGGCCCGAACCGGCAGGTGACCGGTTCCGGGCCGGTTCTGGGCCGGTTCACCCGCCCCATTTTTTTTTTTGATTTTTGGCTTCTCTTATTTAACCCCCTACCCCTCCCCCTCAACCCCAAACCACCTCAAATGGCCCAAAATACCTAATCCAACCCAAAAATTAAAAAAAATTCAAAAAAAAATTAAACAAAAAATTATTTCGGCCCGGACCGGGCCCGAACCGGCCGGGCCGGTTCACCAAATAGAGGGCCCGGGCCCGGAACCAGTATCCACCGGGCCGGTTCGACCCGAACCGCCGGTGGACCGGGCCACCGGGCCGGGCCGGTTCACACAGTAACCGGGCCGGGCCGGTTCCGGTTCGGGGCGCCCGACCCGAGTCCAGCACTACTTGAAAGTGAAGCTTTGTATAATTTTACTCATGTTCAAGAATTCTAACAGTTATTTCGAAACTAAAACTGAAAACAAAATAAATGATAAATATACTTGGTTATTAAATTGGAGGTAATTTCCAACTCTATGTCTCTAAGTACTTTCAAGTTTCAACTGTTGGAAGTTCTCATCTGAAGATTATATTTTCATGCGTCACACTGGATTATTGGAATTTGGAAGGGGAGTAAAGAAAGGCAAATAATTTTTTATTACAACATTGAGATAGCTCAAATTGCTATAATTAACAATTTCAGCATACCTTCGGAGTTCCAACAAATTCCCGCATATTTTTTTATTACAACAAAACTTAGCCATTTCATGCTACAAAAAAGGTATAATTGCCCAAGTATCTAACAGATGAAAAACTCATGTCATCTAACCATCTTTTTTGCCAAAATGACTTCTTACAGCACACTAAACAAGTACACTGGTCGCTTTGTAAGTGCTATACTGCTATATAGGAGTACAGACTATTCTAAAAAATCAACATGATCACCATGTTTCTTCCTGTGCACTTACTTAAGATCACTAGCTCAAGTTGGCAATCCTATCGATGTACAGACACTGCCTTCCAGTGACACAATCACAACAACATAGTCCAGAGATCATGCAGATTATACAGGATAACACCTTATGTACCTTTGTAACTCAGCAGATCACACAACCAAAAGAACACATCAAACTCTCACTCACCCATAAAACTTGCCCACCACCACAAGTTTAAAGCAGGTGAAGCTTTGAAGTTTTGACGACCCAGCTGACATCTTTATGAGTTTTTTCTTCTTTTTGACCAAGTTATTGAAGGGAGTTCTTTTTTTGTGGGGGAGGGGGGTCACTGAATCATAAAACAGAGCCCATATTTTGGCACTTGAACGTCTACCATAAAGAACAAAATTTGTTGGCAATCATTCAGGCCACTTCATCTCCCTAGAGAATGATGAGAGAGAAAAAAATGGTGATCGGGGAGAAAAACCTTTAAATCCCGAAGCCAACTGTCTGCAGCCAGCAAGAGAGAGTTTTCTTGCTCAGATTCATGGGTCCCGCATGGACTCACAAGTGAGCCCTTCAGTTTGTATGAAGCAAGGCCAAAGACTGGTAATGAAATCATTGCCTTAGCTCGAATCATACCATTTAAACTCTTAGCATTTGCACCATGAAAGCGTGGCTGGGCTGTACCTGAATAGATGACAGAAAGATTACAAAAAGAAAGACCTACTTAAGAGGTCTTTTTGGAACTAACCGGAAAAAAAATAGACTTGAAATTTGTAAATATACAAAAGATAGGTTCAAGATCAACAAACTTATTTTTTATATTTCTTCAAACTCATTTATTTATGTATTTCTTTATATAAAGACTAGGTAATCTAAATAAGTAGATATGTACACACACACACATATATACATATATATATTCTAAATAAGTAATCAGTAAATGTATATAAAAAATGTATGTAATCTAAAGGGAAAATGGAAACTAATAATCCAACCTTTTAGCGATCTTCTTATAATAGTCCCACCTTTTCGTTATTCAAGAATAATCCAACCTTTGCACCCCATCTTCATTTGCTGGTCTCTGATCGATTAATGACCTGCTATTCCAAGTTATTTTCTTATCTTTGCAAAATATTATCTTTGTAAAAGGTGAGATTTATGGTATAATGATTTGCAAAGATAATAAAATAACTTGGAATAGGAGGTCATCAACCGATCAGGGACCAGTGAATGAAGATGAGGTGCAAAGGTTGGATTATTCATGAATAACGAAAAAGTGGGACTATTGTAAGAAGACCACTAAAAGGTTGGATTATTAGTTTCCATTTTCCCTAATCTAAATCCTATGACATTTTCCTTTTACATTTCTGTTGGGAAAGCCAAACAGAATAATGTTATTTCCTTCAGCAGTTTTTAACTCTTCCCTAACATTTTTCAATGATCAACACATACCCTTGGAAAAAAGTTCACAGGCACAATGAAGAAGATAAGGAGCGAGGTACCTCTGCATTGTGTGGATAATGGATGAAATGTTAAAAAAGATGCATCCAGATCCCGTAATGTGTGGCCTATAGGTATTCTATATATTGGATACCTGCAACCAATTTCATAGTAAGTTCAATCTTCTTATATCCCAAAAAAACTCTCAAATTTGTTAATTTCTTTTGCATGAAGTATAACATACCAAGCAACAGATATCCAACTTGAGGGCATCAAATCACAGCTCTTGCACTTCTTCAACTCTGGATATTGAGATGCTAGGTCCATTATCTGTCAGGTGAAGGAAATTCAAAACCTTCCGAGATGCAGAAGTGGAAACTTTATACATCTTCATAAAACTTTTAACTGATTACTCTTTTACCTTGTCAGTCAATGGCCTGCGATTATATGGCTGTTCCTGCTCCAAATATTCAAACAAGAGAACTCCGGAAGGATTGCTAATTTCAGATTCATCAGCATTCAAGCTCGATACAGATAGGTCTCTCTTTGAGGTCCTGTTTGGTTGTTGGGAATTTGCATGTAATTGGTTGTGCTGGTTCCATTTCGCATCATCATAACTATGTTTTTTTAGTGACTCAACATTACTCTCTTCACCAGATATCCTGGTTGAAATGAATGGCCACGTAAAACAAAGTTCATAGTGTATTAACGTACTTTCAACCACATGCTATGTTAGAATTCATGCATCCACAGTGTAACTATCTCTTTTTCGTGGTTAAAATGAAAGAAATCTCCATTATGGGAAAAACAAGAGCTTGAAGAGTTATGATGCTCTGCTCCAAGTCTACAACTTTCAATGGGATGCTAAGTATTTAAGATATTCTCCGTCATTTCAGAGTTATGATGCTCTGCTCCAAGTCTACAACTTTACAAGTATTACTCTCAACTTATGTTTACAATGTGGGGAAGCAGAAGTCAGTTGTAACTTGGTTGTTATTGATTATTTATAGCTGACCATAATATAGACAAGTAAATAAGTCATGGTGTAAGTCATTGAACGAATTTTGAATGGAGTCATTCGGGGTTATAACTACGAATCTTGAACTAAATGGTTTGGTAAAAAGACCAGTTTGAGAACTACTGTCTTTTAGGTGTGTGTGCGCGTGTGTGTGTGAAATAAAAAGAAAAAACACAATGGTTTCATACAACAACAACATTAAAGCCTTAATGTCAAAGAGCTTGGGTTGGCTAACATGAATCAACATATGATATCGGAGAGAAAAACAATACAGATAAAACAAATAGACAATGGTTGCAACTTCCAACTAATAATAAAATATGTAGTACTTATTACCCAACTGTATCACCATAAGCCTAAGAATGAAGTAATTATTGCAATTAAACTATGAATTAAATTGAAGAAATGAGTAAAAGTAGATGTTAAACAATACTGCCCCACCATAACTTTACATGGTCAAACAAGACTGTAGTGAAACAACCACTTGCAAGGAAAAAGTTATTAGATAAGATGAGCCAAAGGCTCACCAAACGACTCGAATAAAAAGAAAAGATCATTATCAAAGTGTGAAGACTGTGAACTAAATTGCAAAGAATAATGGAGCTTGATTATAACATAAAAATGGCCTATGATGATGTTCTGCGACTAGAGGCATCAGTGGTGTGTGTCATAAGAACACCATTGGCGATCTGAAGAGTCTTCGCCATAAAAATGCTTCCTGGTGACCAGTATACATGTGGTGGTGCCATACCTACGCCATTTCCATCACCACACCATATTTCTGGAGCAGGTTTTAACATGTTCATTAAACTATTGTCAGGCTTGGGTCCTGATTACTAATTAACCGATCAGCTTGCCCATAATACATAGAAAACCGTTATAACTAAAAGGAGACACGCTAACGTAGAATTGAAGCAAGAGAAACTGCAACTTATGTCTATGTCAGAGAAAGCTGCACGCGGCTAAGGGAAACTACACTTCCGCTGAAGGAGTGTGATAATTGATGATGATTAGATTATAATCATCAAACGAAAACAAAAAGTCATGTTCCGGAAGAGTTGAAACTTTTTTTGGACATTTAGTTATTTTGACAACTAATACAACAACAGCAAACAAAATCCAAGTCTTAGTCTCAAAAGATTTTGGGACTAACATGAACCAATACATGAAATCAGAGCCAAAAGGAAAAGAAAGATAAGAAAGATAAGGTATGATAAAAGAAAAAATAAAAGGGATAATATAAAATAGAGATAAGATATACATAAAAATGATAAGATAAAAAAGATAAAAAGAATACAAAGACGGAATATAAAATAAATTTTGACAACTACTTTAAACTTTAGGTATTTTGACTTAACATATTTTTAGAATTTATTTTTGTGTCATGCAGCAGCGCCATAAATGCGCCATCGCTACAGAAAATGCCTTAGCGCCATGGAAACTAAGAAAGGCATGATGTAATGAGACAAATGCATGAAAATATTTCTATAATTAAGATGGACAAGTAATCATGAATCATGACCATTTAAAATCCGTAATTAGCATTAGCTGAAGGGTGATAATTACAAGTGACACAATAATCGAAAAGGACAAAAAATTCCCAATATAAAGATCCATTAACAAAGAGACAACTAAGAAATGTATGCAACATATTAGATATATACCTAAAATTCAGAAGAAATGAGCCAATAATTATATATGCTCACCTTGGCCGAGACGATGACTTCAATGGGTCTATGTACAGCTGTATGCCAGACAAGAATGGAACATAATACTGAATAATACGGTCCTTCTCATTCAGCAACAGGGGCACGCCAACTCCATACACACTCCACTCTCTCAAAGACTCCCAGAGATCTTCAAGGTAAAAGAATGAATTCGCCTCGGCTTCAAGAGTTCTGTTTCCTCTTACAATTGCCTGCTCACTCGAGAAATGACTTCATATAAAAAACCAAGTTGGCAGCAAATACTACTGACATCAGTATAAGAACTCATTCTGGTAATCATTTCCAACTCATACCAAGGAGAAGCATTTGCAAACTAATATAGAAACAAATGAATCAAAGAACACTTGGTGGTAATAGTCAAACATAGAGAATTGTCTGAAAAGTAAAATAAAGCAGTAGTCTCTTTTCTTGCAATGAATAAAGAGCAATTCAAGTCAGTAATAAAAGCTGCAGGAATTTGCACGAATTACATATTAGTTGGAAAGAGCAAAATCTCAGGATTAATACCTCAGATAGTTGCTGAGCTTGCACGAAGGGAGTAACGGATTCCATCAAACGATCCAAGTTGGTGATGTTCATCGGCGGCGCGGGAGAAGAGGAGGGGACAGGTGATGGTTTGGAGAGTGCGGTGATCGAATCGTCGGATTCAGTCCGGTCCTCCGACTCAGAAGTTGCAATTTCCCCATTCGCTCCATTCTGCTGCGGCCTCTGCCCCTGAAGCCGCGGCTGCTGCTGTAACACCGTCTGCTGGCGCATCCGTCGCACCCCCGGCGGGTTGTAGAATCGGTCTGCTCCGTGATTGCGCGTCACAGCGAAGCCACTGGAATAAGACATTTTTACGCGTAGAAGTGCGCTGGCAGAAACAGAGCTCAGTAAGTTGAACTTGATAGATCAGCGAAATGTAGTTGAAAGCAAAGACGGAGATTCAAGATTAGGGTTTTGGAGGTCTCTGCTAGTCCAGTCCAGTCCAGTCCAGTCCTTGGAGGGTTGTCTGAAATAAACTTCCTTGTTTTGTGTTTATGGCAGCTACTGTGATAAACAAAACATGAAAATTGCTATTTTGGAGATGAGAAAAAAAGAAGAATAGAAAAATACAGAGCAGCCCAGCGGGGTAGGAGAAAAGGCAGGAGAAGAAAAAGGGAATATGCTTTTTCCTTGCATCCATGTGCTAAAATAATCAACTTTGGTAGTTTGGTGCGCCGCGTTACACCAAATTTCTGCTTGTGCCCTTCAATTTATGGACAATTCTTCTTCCCTCCACCCCGACGACATTTTTTTAATAATTGTTTGGATTTATAACTACCTAACCGTGTAACCGATTGGAACCGAACCGCTAACAACATCTAGGAATCGAACCATTAACAATTAATGTCTCATTTGTAGGAACTGAACCGAAGCGAGTTATAACGGTTCGATTCCCGGTTCCTATAAAAAATATGTGCATGGAACCGTTAAGGAACCATTATAAAATAAAATAAAATAAATAGTAGCAGCAGCGGCGGGAGGAGCAGGAGTGGCGGCAGGAGCAGCGGCAGGAGCAGGAGCAGCGACAGGAGCAAGAGCAGCAGCAGGTGCAGGAGCAGGAGCTGCAGTGGCGGCAGGTGCAGGAGCAGGAGCAGCGGCAGGTGCAGGAGCAGCGGCAGTGGCAGATGCAGGAGCAGCGGCGGCGGCGGCGGCGTCCACACACGGCATGCGTACCGGCACACACGGTCGTGCGTCCTACGCGAACAACACCCCGTAGCTACTGCCCCTTACGCACGATCGTGCGTGGGGTTGGACGCACGATCGTGCGTCCCTGTTTTCAGCCAGTTTTGGCCCGAAATCCATCGGTTTGACCCCGGGATGGCCTGCACCTAATCTCTATGACTTATATCATCACTTTATGAACTAAACATGGACAAAAATACCATTTTGCAAGAGATGATACCCGCAACAGAATCCGGATTAGCTCGAGCATCCGCTTCCGTCATCGCATAAACTCTAGCTTGAGTTCTCCCTTGATTCACGGACGGCGCATTGCTAGTGCTCGCTCTCCCTTGGCCCGTACTAGCATGAGGTGTTCCGGTTCGGTTCCTACTTTCTGTGGTAGCGCCACTTGGTCCTGACCCCCGGTTCCCACCAAGTTGAGGGCAGTTTGGCTTAATGTGCCCCGTATCTCCACATTGGTAGCACCGAGGAGGGTCACGACACTTACCCCCGTGGTTCCTGTTACAGTTCCTGCACCTAATCACCGTTGGGGCTTGCGAGCCTGAGTTCTGTCCACCCGTGCCTGAGCTTTCTCTAGACGGCGGTGCTGGTGCTCTAAACGGTCCTCCTCCCCCATGGTTCCCCTTCTTATTAGAAACTTGGGGGCCATGGTTCTCCAATTTCCTCTTCTTCGCCTCCTCGACGTTCCTCTTCTTTCTCTCCTCCCATTGCTTCTCTCCCTTCAACCCCTGGGCAACCACTTGGCTGAAAGTCATGTTGAGCAATTGAGTTGCCCTATCACGTATCTCCAGGTCCAAGGCCTCCCAAAAGTGATTCACCATTCGGTTTTCATCACAAGCATACTCCGGTATGTGGTCGGTAAGGTCCCTGAACTTGTGCTCAAGTTCTTTCACCGTCATGTTACCACCTTGGGTCAGAAGAGTATACTCCCTTACCTTGGCGTTTACCTCAAAGTCAAAGTAGTACTGGGCAAAGAATTCCTGCCAAAAATTCTCCCAAGTAACAGTCCCGCCATGCTTGCCCTTGGTTCCATCCCACCACTAGGATGCCAACCCTTCAAGTAACCTCACCGCGATTCTCAGTTTAAAATCGGGGGTGAGTTGCATGTCAAGGGCTGCCTCGTTCAGCCTCTTGATCCACTGTGCGGCAACCGAGATGTCTCCCGTTCCATCGAACGGTTTGCACCCCAGGTCCCTCGCCTCTTTGATGTATTTGGAGATCCTTATGGTTGGACCTCCATCACCTCGACTTCCATGCGCTTCCACATGGGTTCTCGAATCACAATAGCTCCTTCCTCTTGGAGCCCCGCACGGCGCCTTCGGCATTCCCTCCTTTCCTCGTGCTCCCGATGATATTATTGGAGCAGCGCTTCAATCCTAGCCAAGGAGCTATTTTCCTCCTCGTCACTCACGTCATCGTCATCCCCTTCATAAGGGGTCTCAACCGGCTCCGTTTTCGGCCGGTAGGTTGAGTCCTCATAGGACCAATAAATCTCGCTTTCCGTGTGGACGTGGCAATCACTCACGGTTTGTCGTTGTCCCCCACGGCCCCTTCCTCTTGATCCCCTAGAGGACCCCCGGCTACCACGCTTGAACCCACCCGGTGCGCGGCCTGTCGGGTTCCTTCTAGTGATCCTTCCAACTGGTTCCATTTCTGAAAGAAATTTAGAATGAGTCATTAGACTCGTATCAAATGTCAATTGACGGATAGGTATTTAAAGACATCCTTCGGCTCAAATCACCGTCATACCAATTGTTAAGGGTACCATCTTAACAATTAGAGACTTTGCAACCCAAGTACCAAAAGTTCTCAAAGTACAAAACTTTTATGCTCATGGTTTTCAAATTCGTTTTCAAAATGAATTTTGGAGCTTCATTATGAAGTTTACGGATTAAGGATCTGATACCATTTAAATTGTCATGCCCCAGACCTGCCGGACACGTCAACAACCCGCCGTACAATACGAATAGTCAACCGCAGTCCAACTCATCCATACTGTACAAGGCGTCTTGTATACCATTCACACATAGTACATTCATAAACAAACATAATGTAAAAATATTCATTTAAAGCAGCAGAAGTAATATAACAAGTGTTCAAGCCACACTTGGCAAACATGGGCATACAAGCCCTAAAATAATAGTTATTCAGAAAATATTATCATGAGCATTAATTTAAATGTTTTTAAAACAGAAGTGGAGGAAGCACGAATCACGTCTTCCTTCTTTGATTCTCCCGGGCAACGGGCACTGGTAGCAAGCTCAACTCCTACCTGAAACTGTGAGGTGGCCTCTCCCGTGAAGGGGAGGTCAGTACTTGGAAACATTTGACAAGTACAAAGACAACTATACTAAGTATAATCAATGTTTCAATTTCCAAGACCCTCAAACCAGGGTATTATCATATTATAGTTAACCTCGTTCATTTAATGTCAATTCATCGTTATTTACTATGGTCTAGAGTCCAGCTCATAATCACCGTTATCTACTACGGTCTAGAGCCCAACTCATAATCACCGTTATCTACTGCGGTCTAGAGCCCAGCTCATAATCACCGCTATCTACTACGGTCTAGAGCCCAGCTCATAATCACCGTTATCTACTACGGTCTAGAGCCCAACTCATAATCACCATTAACTACATCGGTCTAGAGCCCAGCTCATAATCACCGATTTCCTACATCGGTCTAGAGCCCAGCTCATAATCACCGATTCTTTACAATTCAATTTCTTAGGATCAAATTCATCCATTACTCGACTAACATTTCCAACTAATATTTCAATGCTAGTTATTCACTCATTTCAATACAATTCTTCATTCATGTGTAATTTGGCCTTATTATCAAAACTAGCGTTTTTTTCGCGCAAGGCGCGAGAGCTTTTGCCCAATGTCAATTTTTGTTTTGTTTTGTTTTGTTTTGTTTTGTAAATAACAATTATATGTGAGATTATTAGAGTTTTTTTTTAAATGGTGTGCGAAATTGTTCTTTTTGTAAATAATCGGATCAATTATATTTTTAGTCCACCAGCTATTGTGTGGAAAATTGCCTATATTTTGTAAATGTAAGTCATTCTATGAATTAACTATATTTCTCATTTAAGTATATGAAATAGTTGAAATGACACTATATTTTTTTTTGCCTAATTTAAGTTAACAAGTTAAATTAGGTGCATATTGAGCTGGTAAAAGTATAGATGTTGGGTGATTTTCGAAGTTTTAAAAAAACTTTTCCGACTATGAATATTCTACAAGCTAAGAGCTGTATAATCTTTTTGGAAATTGTTTGTTGTACACGTCAAATTCATACACGCTTCATACACACTGTCTGTGAGAGTATTTTTCTGTTCGTGAATACACTGTTCACAAACAAAACATTTTTTGTCTGTAAACAATGTAACTTTTTTTTTATGAATGAACTTACTGGTAACCCCATGATAGAATTCAATCTGAAATGTTAATGAATTTGTGGTAATCGCTTGATTTATAGCAAACGAATTAATATCATGCGCTTACAAAAAGATAAGGTGTGGATTCATATATGTTCTCCAGACTCCAGTCTATCCTATCCGGGTGTTGCGTTTGTGAAGACCTTTTTCAACATCATGAAGTTTAGATTCAAGATTTTTTAATTTGCTTGAAACATGTTTTTAGTAAAATATATACTCCATGAGTCAAGTTGGTATCCTTCTAATAAGTTTAAATTAGATACAAATAATACAACGGACGAGGCTATACTGTTTTGAGTTTTGAAAATTGACTTTAACGGAATACTAACGTTTAGAAGGAGTAGTAAGGATAAAGAAGTCATATTAAAAGTGAGGTTCCATTTTCTGAAAGCAATGTACAACTTATCATGCACAAAGTATGTTGACACAAATTAAGGGTACCAACTCTTGTTCACAATTATAATGTTGTTAGATATCACTTTTATACTTTTATGGCTTCTTCTCATGAAATACAAATATATTTATCACCAATGAAAATTCATGGTTAATACCACCATCATACCAACATATTCATAACATATAAACACACACAATTTATTCATAAATTTGTATTTTATGCATACTATACTTATAATATATAGTAATTTCATTTAGGCATTATTAACCATTAATAATCCATGCAAATCACATTTTTGTATTCATTTAGGTTATCTCATGAAATTAACCCAAAGATTATAAGCAATATAGTCGGTCATCCTCACCTTAAGTGAGTCCTTAGCGCGTTTTACGCTGCCCGATTGAACTTTGGCGAATTCCGGCGAACTTTGACCAACTCCGGCGGACTTTGACCAATTCCGGCGAAACTCCGGCGAAGCTTTAAAAATACTTTAATCAAGTTCCTAACAAGGTTTTAACATCATAAAACCTTAATCAATACAAATAACCTCTAAAGGTTATTTTCCGGCGAAACGGTAATTTTGACTATAAGTCCGCTCCTGGAC